GGAAAGAGAGAGATACACACACAGCACAGAGCCTTTTTTCATTGGTCTAAAACTGTATTTTCTTTTGGATAAGAATTCCGTATTTGCTAAGCAGAAGCAGTGCAACCAGAGGTCATTCTCTGTGTGACTCAATATAAAACAGACACCTCTGCTCAAGGAGACAAAGGAAACAGCAGCTCTGGACTTCTGTCTTCCATTCCTGTGCCTTCTCCCTGGAGAACTCAGTCTCTTTTCAGACAGTGGCTGCTAGAATCACTCAGAGAGGACACAAGAATGCAGGACGTACTTTGATGACACTGAGTCTTCATGTGTTGCCTGAGCCAATATGTGCACTGGAGATGCTGGACAAAGGGTAAAGTCACTTCCACTCCCTTTGTCCCACCCAGCACACTGAAGATGCTTCAGGGCTCCCCACCCCTCCCAGCACAGACCAGCACTGTTCCCAGCTCACTGCTCATCTCAGTTTCTCTCGAGATGAGGGTATCTCCCTCACACAGTTACTGCTCCAGCTTCACAAATATGATTATAGCCTGTACATTTGATATTCAAAGGGTAAAGTCACTTCCACTCCCTTTGTCCCACCCAGCACACTGAAGATGCTTCAGGGCTCCCCACCCCTCCCAGCACAGACCAGCACTGTTCCCAGCTCACTGCTCATCTCAGTTTCTCTCGAGATGAGGGTATCTCCCTCACACAGTTACTGCTCCAGCTTCACAAATATGATTATAGCCTGTACATTTGATATTAGTTATTGCACAGTTACTGCTCCAGCTTCACAAATACGATTATGCCCTGTACATCTGGCATCATTCCAGTTATTGGGAGGTGACGTGGACTTGTGGATTACAACGCACTTCTCATCATCAGTATTACTTGGTTCACCCTTGCGCCAGAACCTGAGACAGAGGTAGACATGTTACTCCCCACAGAACACTTTAAACTCTGCTGTAGAAAGCTGCAACAGGATGCAAGACATGAAGGGGAGAGAGAAAAACTCCAAATGATGCTTCATGGACAGAAACAGTACCCTTTCTCCCACTCTGATATCCCACTGGCATGAGTGTCAAATAGAAAAATGCCTTCTTCCTACAGCCTTCCAACACAACAAGGCCCTGCTCTGTCCTGGCACGGGGGACTGATCACCACCACTCTCCCCATGCACTTTGCACCCAGCAGAGGCTCATGTCTGCCTCCAGGGCAGGAGTGTTCTTCAGAAGAAGAAACAGCAAGGACAATCCTGGTGGCCGCTCCCTGTGTCCCATCTCTTCCAGAACATTTCAGCACAGGCCATTCCCACAGATATCCATGCAATGAGTGCAGGCATGGTGGTGGCAATATGGAGGTGGAGCTGCTGGCAAGATGCAGCTTCTTCTGTCCCTACAGCACTGATGGCCACATCACAGGGAGTTAATTAAGAATCAAGAACCAGCACAGATAGGGCCATGTGAACCTGGTGTTCTCCCCTGCTCCATCGCTGATCTCTCACAAGGAAGGGCAGTGAGACACCTCCCTCTCATGTAACAACAGACACTCTCACTTCTACCCTTCTTCCTTGCCCTGCTAGGAGCCACCCCTCTCATGTAACAACAGACACTCTCACCTCTACCCTTCTTCCTTGCCCTGCTAGTAGCCACACCAAACAGTCTCCATCCAGGGATACTCACGCTGCTGTCTCATTATATGGAGTCTTGTCCACCCAGTGCCACTGGCCCACCTCCTCTGCACTCAGACCAATGAAGAAATTTTCTGGTCCTGAAACTTTTTTAATCTGCTCAGAGAGGAAAACCTGGAAATAGTGGAGAGTGCAATGTCCATGAGGTGCTGAACTGACCAGAGGGAGGTACCAGGAGTACCTGTGGGGTAGGACTGGGGGCAGAGGGGAGCCAGCACTGCAGGGGTGCAGAAAGGATCTCCCCTCCCCTCCAAGGGGTGCAGAAAGGACATTCCCACTCCCCTGCAGAGCTGCATAAAGGACATTCCTCCTGCCCTGCAGGACAAGGAGGGGCTCTGAGTCCCCTTCAGGGCCTGGCACTGTCTCTGACTGCTCAGCCCCTCTGTTAGCCTTGTGCACTTACCTGCTCTGCTGCACTGTTGATCACCACCAGGTGGGAGCCCATCCCAGTGCAGTTCTGCTCACTCTCAACCCAGGACATCCTATCAGGGGATAGGTAATAGCAGTTTCCTTGAAACCTTTTCCAGCCCTTCGGGCAGCACGTCCATCCTCGGTCTGCATGGGGAGAGACTGCAGAGATGAATGCTACTAGCAAGAGAGATGGTGATTGCAAAGATCCAAGTTCTCCAGGGACAGTGCTCATGTTCTCCTAAGTCACTCTTCCTGACAGAAGGTGCTTGAAAAAACCAAGGATAGTACAGATATTTCTTCCCACTGCTTTGGGATATGACCTGTGAGTTTTGTGTACACAAATCCATGACAATCCTTGGAAGATGATCTCAGGTCGTGACAAAGTTCTTTGGATGATCTTCTTTGACTTGTCCTCATATAGTCTCCTTTAGGCCTTTTGCCCCAG